TATCTATCTATCTATCTATCTATCTATCTATCTATCTATCTATCTATTTATCTTTCTATCTATCTTTCTGTCTGTATATGTTGTTGTCGGTTTCTTATTCATTCCTTTATTATTCCTTTAAAAATGCTAAGAGAAGATAACAATATAGATAATAATATAGATAAACGAAAATATTACAATTCTTTATTTTGGTTATGCATAATGAAGAATTTCCCTAAACGTTTTCTAAGGAGACTCATTTTGAGTGATAAATCCTTTCACTCCGTTGTGTCGTCACTGACACGTCGTAGCCAATCAGAGACGGGCGCGCGGCCTGCTTATAAGCGCCAGGACGCGGCCGGTTGGCTTTTAAACTTCTGCAGAGAAGTTTGGAGCAATCGGGACAAGATGACCAGAAAGCTGCAAGGCCAAACCCTGGAGGAGGGCAAAAGTAGAAAAAGGGTAGGAACCTCTGCTTCTTAGAACTAGAGATTACTTTCTAACGAGGCGAACTGTACAAGTGTTTTCTTGTTTACTTTGTGCTTTAAGAGATGATCCCTTACAGCTCAGGTTAAGTTGCCAGGTTGAAGCCATCATGCAAACCGTCTGACCTACTGCCTTCCAGGAACCAAAACTAAATTAATTAACAATTACTGTAAGCTGAATGGTTTATCAGAATGTTTTTTCTTTTTTAAATTGATGTTTCTTTTTTTTTCTCTCTCTTTTAATAACCTGGGCGCCCAGTTTTCTTTATCAAGAAAATACCAATGATTTTTCTAAGGGGATTTAATGTGGAATATTTGGCACACGTCTCACAGTGAATAAGATCTATGCTAATTTACTTCCTTAGATTCTAAAGCCAGTCGTGGAGAAGAAGCGAAGGGATCGAATAAATCAAAGTCTCGCAGAGCTGAGACGTTTGCTGTTGAGTTCCACGAGCGACGCAGTGAGTCCACTCGAACCATCAATAATTAGCACCACCCGCATGTAACTGATGTCATAACCAACATGATGAAATGTATGTCTTCCCCTTCTCAACTGTTATCATCAAAAGCGTCTGCAGAATCCTAAAATAGAGAAAGCTGAGATTCTGGACTTGGCTGTGGAATATCTTAAGAACTGGACAGATAGGAAGAACAGAAGCAATGGTCAGTCAAGCATAACTGTGGATAATCCATGTTATCCTTTTTAAAAATTGGGCATAAAGCTCAAAATGGTTCATATGGGTTGTTGTTACTCTCATCCTTCACACTTTTTTGCCGTTTCTTTGCAGATTTGACTTGTGGAATGAGGACCCAGGCGCCTCTGGTGGGCCCCGCAGAGCCCAGTGCTCATCCCCTCCTCATCTCTGAGACCGCTGGCTTCCAGCAGTGTGTGGCTCAGCTCACAGGCTACATGCAAAAGATACCACCGGCACAGAGGGCCAGTCTGATCGAGGGGCTGCGGCATCACGCGGAAAGCTGGCAGCCGAAACCAGACATCACCCACAGCATCGCAGAGATGCCGGACGCAGCATCTGTGGATTCCAATTCCACATCGGACAGCAGCGAAGGGTCACCCTGGTATCTTTTCCCATCTCATTCTCCCTTCCAGCCCCTCTCTTGCTCCTCACCCTGCCACGACTATCTATCCCCTCCTTCCTCCCCCTGGTTCTCTCCCCCTTTCCCGTCCTTTGCTTGTCACTTCTCCTTCCCCCCAAACCTGTCACCTCCTTCCTCCAACACCTCCTTCTATAGTTTCTCACCCACACTTCCTCACACCAGCTCTCTTAGCTTTCCCGTCCCACCTTTCACATCACTAAGACCCCCTCCGAACCCGTCACACAGGGAGGAGTCAGCAGCAAGCTCGTCCTCATGCACGTGGAGACCCTGGCTTTAATGACTATTTACAACTGCTAGTAGAGTCACCTAGTGGAAATAAGCTGTAATTGCAAGCATAAATGTACAGTGTATATATGATTAATATTGACCATATTTGGATTATTTTTGTGAATAAATAAATAATGTACACAAATCTAATAAACCCTCTCTTTGTACATGTATATCTTGTCTTGTACATGCACCGTGAGCAGGTTTTAGCTGATTATTAAAAACTTTAATAATAATTCCATGGTTTTTGCCTCCTTCTTTGTAGCATCAGGATTCTTTCAATAAACTAAAATAGCTGTAAAGGTATTTTCAGTCAGCTGGATGACAGCCAGTCAAAATTGGCAACATGTACTTCTGAGCAACTCAAATTCACTCTGGTGTATTTGAGTTGCTCTGGGGGAAAGAGGCTAAAGTAAATTTAGAATTTTTTAGGTGTTGTTGTGAAACCGCAATGTTGAATGTATGAATGAATCAATATATCCATCTCATTCACTGTCACAATATCAGATAGACTTTAAATTACCCACCCTGAAACATGTTGTATTTGAGTTTTTATTAACTGTCCTGCCGTATTTTAACCAACATTGCTGAACACAATAAATGGCACAAGTTACAGTTTAGTTCAGATGTTAGGTTCACTGGACACTCCAAATTTATCCAAGGAGTGAATGTGAGTATGTGTGTGGTTGTTTGTGTTTGTGTGGCCCTGAGATAGACTGGTGACTTGTCATGGGTGTACCTTGCCTCTCACATATGTAAGCTAGGATAGGCTCCAGCCACCTCATGACCCCATTGGGAATAAGCCCTATAGAAAGTGGATGGATTCATTTGGTCAGTGAAACACCAATCGTAAGAAAAAAAAAGACTTCAGTTTTGGCCTAGCTTTCCTTTGAAAAATCTGTTTAATGAGTGACCAATACATATCGGTTTTTAGTGGACACTGTGTTGCTTATTTATACTAAGTCCCCCTCTTTTTAGCATCTCAACAATCCTGAATGTGTCTGTCGGAGAAATATCTCATCTACTGTATGTTTGAATTCTTAAAAAATGATGCGCTTACACGACACGGCTAGCCTTTTATTCACAGGTCATATCGCTGGTCCATTTCACCAGATTCTCCAGGAGTGGTGACTTCTCAGGAGGTAAATTTGCACATATATAAAGATAAAATGCCCCCTACGACAATATGAAGCTATGACAAAAAAAAGAAGATTGTGTAAAGAGACAATTAAAAAAATTCTAGGGGTTGTTAGGAACCTCACATAACTACCTTTCATTGTCTCTTGGATTCACAAATAAGTTATTGAAAAAGCTAAAAGCAGAGCTCAATATTTATGGTTAGCTTTTAAATTCCAACCACATTTCAAAATAACAGTTTAGAAGTCTACCCAGACGAATCTGACAATACTCAAATTTTGAAGATGTTGAGTGGTCAGCAGAGGGCAGCATTGGCACAGCGTACAGCTCTGTAGGTGATCTCTGTTCCTTCCTGATCACAATGGCTGTAATAAAAAGGGGCTGTGACTTGGGCTAAAAAGAGGATGTCATTGAGCTTTTCCATCAACGATAAGCTTGTGATGCATGATCATCATTCCTCTCTCCCTTTGTCTTTCAGTGCTCGGCTCACTCTTATCTGCTGATTAAATCTCCATTACGAGCTCTGAATATTTCCAGCAGGCAGGCACCAAAGGATTTGGCCTGAGAAAACAGAATTTATCACATGATAGAACATGTCTTTGGATAATCGTTTTTTTTTTTCTTTCCTCCCCTCCTTCTCCTGTCTATGCTCCTCTTTGCACTGGAGAAACTTTCTCTGAGCGAGTGCCATTAGTTATGAGGTGGCCATTGTTCTTTGTCAGAGAAATAATGGGGTTGGCACATCACAGGGAGCTTGATTCTCTACACCGGCTCTCTGCTGCGTGTTTTGATCATTCTGCACAGGCTCATGAAAGCAGAGAAGGTCGTTCACGCCGGAGAGGACAATTTCTGCGGCTTCGGCACATAATTAATGGGGAAAGAAATGACATCTTGGAGTGACCTGACAGTGGTTGAAAACTCCCTGGCATTTTCTCAGGACAAGCTGATTAGAGCTGATCCTGTTACCCTCTTTAATCACTGTTTTTTGTTTGCCAGCGCGCATTCCTGATTTAAAGACTGTGAAGATGTCAAGGGTTTGTCATGGCCTACTGAGAGTCTGTGAATTCCTGCATGTTGGTGCATTTAAAAAAATCCAAATGCTGAGACAGGTCTGGTATCAGCTACTTTCGCCACACAAGTGAGTACTTGCACATGGGGAACTTATATATAGGAAACAGCTTGTACGCCGTCCTTTGACAGCTTCTCGCTCAGCAACACAGGTGCTCATCACAGCCATCCCATGATAACAAGGTGTTGGAAACAGTACATTTCCAGATACGTTTCAAGCTCAAGGATGACAAATATCACAGCTGTGGTCTTATTCAGTAATTATTTTCAGTTGGAACTGTCATTGACTCTCGTAGCTTTTTAGGAGACCCCGTTTTTAAAATGCGAGGGTCTCCTGATGAAGCAGTTGTGTTCAACCTTATCGTCATGACTCATTTTCAGTGTTTAGTCATTTATGGTTGAGAAAATCCTTCAGGACCTTGATATGGTTCTGTGTAAGTGCTTTGGTGTTGAATGAGCAGACACTCCGAGATGCACGACAACCTGTTGTAGCCTTTCAGTGCCACGTGGGGCGAAATCATTCAAAATATGTGGAAGGACTTGGAGTGTAAGCCTCTGCATGTTTGTGATCATCCTGTCTTCAGGGACCCATACATAGGCTGAGTCTTACTGTGACTGTGATCAACTCATTGCCTTAATAGGTAAACTTCCCACTTGATCAACAATCACACAATCAGACCAACAAATAGCAACATGACAAACCCGTCAGTGATGGGAACCCCCACTGCTGACGGCTAAAACTCATTCAAAGTTGGGGATTAGTAAAAACTTTTGGGGTGTTAGCATCGAGAGCTTTGATGACTGGAGGGCTTATCTTGAAAAAATTGATCACGCAAAGCTAATTAACAAAAAAATCCTAGAGGCTTATCAATTAAGCACAGAGAGCCTTGCACCACATGAGCAGTGTCATCAACTATAAAACATCAGCTAAACTGATGTGGAACTATGGCTGGTGTTTACTCAGGCTAGCACTGCTGACCAATCATGGAAAAGTGGGCTTATTTTAGGGGAATACCTCCTTTAGGTTTGTTTCCACAAGAAACATGTAATCAGTAAAAGTAAATAGTGTTCTGCTTAGCATTTTCTGCATGTGTTTAAGCTTTCAGGGTGACATTAATCCCCTAACGCCATTAGTTTTTGCAATTATTACTAATGGAATGTGACTTTAAAGGTGATGAAAGTATTGAGATGTAATGCTGTGTTGACATTCACAGATTTGAAAAAAAATGTATGGATCTCACTCTTTGAATATGCAAAAGCATTGTGCAGTCCCACTAAATTGAACTGCCATTCAATCGAATCGATGAATCGATTCATGCAGTGCTGGAGTGGATCCAAATGCAGACCCAAGGAGGGAAACTCAGGGAGGAACCTAGGACACTTTAGAAAACTGATTTATTCACAAAAACAGCAAAAAGGCTCACCAGAAGCTGGGTACGTAATTGGGAAAAAATAAATAAATAACAAAACCAAGAAACCAACTCAGAGAAAGACCAGAGAGGAACATATAAAGATGTAAAGTGGGATCTGGCAAGCTTTTATAGACAGGAGAGCGATTAGTGGAATGTGGCGCAGGTGAGAATGGAAACACTGGTGCAATGATGAAGCTAAGGGGAAAGTGTGGGCTATGACACAGGATGAAGCTGGTGGAGACACTGGGAAACACAAGGAAACATGGAGGAAATAGAAATTAAATAGGAAACCAGAAACCAAGAACGAAACCCCAATAACTACTAAAACAGAAGACAGGAAACAGACACATGAGGAAAACAGAACCAAGAAACAAAGCCAAAACTCATAATAGATGTGGATTCATTGCTTTATGATAATGAGTAAATAATCAGGAGCCTGTCAATATTTTATCGATCCTTGATGACAAATGCTTGGAAGTTACCAAGAAATATAATAGGTGACCATGTCATTGAATCATTAGGGAATTATTTCTTAATAAATATATTGAGACTCTTTTAATGAGAGTTTTGGATTAATTCTCAGACCCACTGAGGATTAAGTCATTTACCTTTATTTACCTTCAAATAAAGCTCAATCCTCTTAACAGCAAATAGTTTCCTCAACAGTAAATTTGAGACCAAACGTTACTTAAACAACTATAAGTAGCTACCCCATGCATCACTGACTGTTTAGCTGCCACGTGATCCCCCACGATGAAGCCCACACGACACGACCAACAGAGTTTTGAAATTTTTCAATATTTACAGATGTGATGCTCAGAGAGAAAAATAGATGTGGGAGATCGCCTCTGCTTCTCCACTTCTCTATCTCTGTTGTTGTGGTAGCACTTTGGTTGTGTGACTCAGCCTATCTGGTGGTTTTTCATTCATTTGTCCACAAGTCACTCGACCAACAGATCACTGCCCTAGTTGTAGGGCAGTGATTGTGACTTAGACTAAAAAGTCATTGATTTGAAACTAGATGGAATTTTGAGAGAAAGAAACAAGAAATTAAAGGTTATAGTTTCTGTGATTAAAAAACATCCACTTTTATTAACTTTTTCCCACATTTATTCTTTAGAGATCCATATTTTCCATGAGAACAACTATATTCTCTTATTGATCAGCTCACATCAAGCCTGATAGACAATGCTAGAAATATTGTTTCACTTGCTGAAATTTGAGGAACAAAATCAGCACGTCTCTCAATATCAAAGCTGTCAATTATGATCTATTGTTGCTTACATAAGTATTTTCAAGTGATTCTTTTGTTTAATTTGTTTATATTTGTATTGAAACGTTTTAGTCTTTTGATTTACGTATTTAAGTTTCATATCTTTTGCTATTTTCACAGATGCTTTGATACTCTAATAAGATAAATTCAATTTTATGTCACCCAGAAATCCAAGAGGCTTTGACTCAATCTTGGGAAAAAAAATAAAGGAAACCTTTCCAACAGAATTTCACACTGACTCTGACTCTTCAGTCTTCAAGAGCGAGACATCTTTGTTCTGATTAACCATTCCTCTCAAAATTTTAAGGGG